CTTGCCTTAAGAATATATGGTTGTAGAGATATGAAGTTGTAATTTATCACATTTACTATGTGTTTTTGAGTTGTTAGCTCGACCGTGTTGTCAGCTCGGCCGTAGATTACGTTATTGACATGTCGAAGAATTTATGCACCTCGTATTTATGGATATTTCGAAATTCAAAATACAATGCAGTTTGCAATAATGCTCGTAAAGAAATCCGTTCCAGTCAGCTGGTAAGGTTAGTTCCGAACTTTGCAGTAGTAGCTGCGCTACATCTCCTCTACAGCTAGACCAGCGTGCTGAAAATGTCCATCTGCGCTTTTCTCCCTCGCACCAACGACGTCAACATATTTCGAGGAAGTTATCGGATCCCTGATCCAGGTTTTCTTCGTAGGATTGCCAATTACGCCGGATAAAGGTCTTCAGCTCAGCAAAGAACTCCTCAATAGGATTCAAATCTGGAGAATATAGAGGCAAATATACCAGCTTTACGCCGGCTTCTGAGCACATCTGTTCAATTCAGTCCGAGTGATGAAAGGATGCGTTGTCCATGACTAGCACGGACTTCGGCTCGGGCCATTTCCCACAGTGCTGGAGAAGCTGCTCAATAGAATCCTAAAAGACGGACGCGTCAGTTGAACCCTGGAATACCCGAGCCAAAACAATGCCGTCTTGCGCATATGCAGGCAGTATAGGAGGAGAAAGGAGGTCGAAAGGGCGAGGTCAGGTCTTTTATGTTGGGACGATAGAGAGAGGAGGTTACAGGACAGCGTATCGGGGCGCTAAGCCGGGAACGGCAAAACTAACCGGATGTAGTAATTCACAGGTCCGCCGTTTACAATTTAAATGCATTTTTCAGAATTAAATTATCTGCACTTTTGGTGGTGGAATAAATTCAAATTGCTTTATAGTGATAGATCAGGTGATTTCCGAATACAATAGAGCTAAATACCTAAAGTAGTATAGCTAAAGTGTGTCTAGACCGAAAAAGTGTCTTTAATGTTCAACCCAACCTCATTCTTCCTACATATATACTTTACACCTGACATCCCCCCAGCTGCAAATCAAAATGTCTTGTATCTTCGCGAAAGTCAGTACTAGTACTCACTACTCTTGCGTTTGCCATCTTTGCTAACATTTACTCAGAACACCACGAACCTAGTTCGGAGTATGCTTGCTGAGGGAAATTTCGAGCCCGTCGATAACTATGTCGAAAACGAATGCAAATATAGGATTAAATGGCAAACATTTGAATGTTCGTCCGATACATTCGTTAAGGTCATAGTCGCCGAGAGGGCTCTACAGGGACTCGTCCAGCGCTACGATGGCGTCGAAAAAAAGATTAAACAGGCAAAATCCGCTCCGAAGTATAAGAAAAAGGTGCAGCAATGGGAGGAAGAGATACAGGACCTTCAACAAGAGATACGCTTAAAGCAACATGAACTCTGCATAAACGAATCATTTCTTCCTTACTGGCCTTTCAAGCAGATGTACGACTCAGAGAGGTTCCAACGTGGTATTGCCGCCTAGAGCTAGTCAAAGAATGTAAAGCAACAGATGGTTGCTGTGCTCTGAGGTGTGGGTGTTGCCAAAAAAGCCATTTAAAGACCCGTAGGACAAAGGGCATTGGGCATTGTACTATCGATTGCAGCTGTTGTGCGAGACACTGGGGCTACCCCGATACTTCCGAAGGCACTGACGAGATGGTTGAAATGTTTGAAGACAGGCTTCGTTGTCCTGATCCAGCCTATCTAGTGATGATGATAAAGGCCTACTTTACCGTGATTGGGAGTTCGAAAAAGGTCACCTCTTTTCATTCTCTACAACAAAAACGAAAGACGAGCTTATACCTTCTTTTCCCTTCAATTAGTCCTGTCGTATTTTCGTTCTTACTTCCCCATATTTCACTATCAAAATGCAATCCTCCGCGCAATAGGAAGACCCCTATATAAATAGTTGATCCCATCAAACCAAAACGAACATTGATATCCTTTGTATCCATGTTGCCCAACCGCAGGAAAAGAGAAAACCATGAAAAAAAGAAATAAGAAGAAAACTGTCCGATGGGCAGACAGAGAAGACCTAATTTCCATCCGAATAGATGATGAGAAGATATCTAGGTCTGACTATGAACAATCACTCAGGACCCCAGGACTGCAAGAGTCTCTTAGAGCGAGCTAGCGAGCTCTCTATGTTCTATTGTCCAAAACCTTCAGGTGTCATATTACGAGCCATAACCTACATATACCATAAAACTCACATATCAGATGCCTAGGAAACTACCGTAATTCATGCTATGGGTCACGGTGGTAGTAGAGGTTATCCATGGATGATAAAGATGATGATGATATTATCACTTGCCTGGTCTATATATGTTGCTCTATATACACGCTGCGATGCACAAAGGCTATCAGACCAAGTCCGTAGCTATGTATGAAGATGAAATTGAAGTCATGGGTATCAAAGGAAAAGCAAGGCAATATATGTATAATGATGATGTCGTAATGGAATCGGGGGAGGAGAATGGAGGTTGGAGTATATTTGGCGGTCGCTTGAGAATGCCTCAGGGAATTGAGGCCCTCTCCTCCATAAGCAGGGTCGTCAATGTACAAAACAGGCCATGCACGGAGGGTCGATAAAGGAGGCGAGGGAGTTTGGAGTTATCGATTCCAGCCAGCTTTACATCAGAGAAGAAGGATATTCGTCTGAACTTCCTCCAAGGTCTGGATCCAACCGCCAGGAAAGGAGCATCGCTTGAACCAGACACCTTCTAGGACCTCGAGTGCTTTGTCAACGTTCTACATTGTGAGATATTAGCATTCGGGCTGGCCTCTTGATGAAGTTTCATTGCCACATACCCTGAAACCAAACCGCTTCAGCTCTTGCATGGTCTGGCGGACGTATTTTTGCTCACTCTCGTTCCGAGTCTCCTGCCCGGCGATGAAAAGCGGCCACAGAAAAGCCAATTGGCCGACATCTTTTGGCAATTTGTAAGCCAGCAGAAGAATCCGACTGATAAGCATGCCCATATACGTCCAATCGGTGATCCAACCGACACGCCCAGCTCCAGCGACCTGAAGCAGATGAACGAATGTCGCCTTCTCGTATGCTTCAATGCAACCCGCATGCTCAAGAACGTCAGGATACGGATACTGAGCAAGGCTCTCGTCATCCAGATCGGTGAGCAGCTGTAGACAGGGTGGGGTCGTGGCACGCCATACAACCAGTTGGTTGAATAGGTCTTTATACATCGCGTCTGATTGGTCGGCTGTCATCCACGTTTTCTTGTCATGTGCAAATGTGCTGATAGATGCCTGCACCTCCATCAGACTTGACCATGCCTGCCGTAACTCGACCAGACGTGGGTTGTCGGGGATCGTTGACAATAAGGTTGGCGTCCCGAGATTGTATTCCCACCCTCCACCCATGGTCTTCCAGTAATTACCTTCGACCACGGTACCGCCGGGAGTTGCGCATGCACCCGCCACATCAAGATAGGAGAGTAGGGAGACAAGGAATGGGCGGAGCGGGTGGTTAGTCTCGGCGACGCGTCGTGCTTCACGTGCCGAGTCTCCGGGTTGCGGGTAGAAGAGGAGGTCGTAGATTTCGCGAGCTCCTTTGAGATGTACTGCCCAGTTGTGGTGTTGTGAATCCATCATCTGCAAGAATGTCAGCTAATTGACGACTGGCAAGTCTGCAAGACAAGTGGGAAAACGAACCTCGAACAAGGAAAGTAACAGACACGTCGCGAAATCCGTTAATCCAAGCTGCTGGCTGGGATCTGAGTATCGTGCGCGGAAGCCCTTCACCACGACACCGTATTTGCTCATTGCCTGCTGGAAATGCCTATTCCGCTGCGACCCCACCGATGTATTCGCGAGATGTAATGCGCCCAATGCCTGCATTGCATTCGCCATTGTTGGAGATGAACGGGCGAGATCCGGGAAATGTGTGCGGTAGGGATTGGCATTGTGGGGGTTGTTGTAGATGATCAGGAGTGTTGATACCTGATCCGCAAAATGAGCGAGATAACGCTCTTCGGTACGCTGAATCGATTTCGCGATACTGGTCAAGGTTACAGGATCCTGGAAGCGGAACTTGATTGTTGGTTGGGGCAGCGTTGTGGGGGCGATCATAGCCTGGCAGGTTTGCGTACTGTCAACATCTTCTCTCTCTCCTAAAGGGGAGGCCGTAGAAGCGTCGCTTGAATCTGGGCTGGATGCGGAATTGTTCTTCTGTCTCTTCGGTGCCCTGGTTGACTCTGGCGGTGAGTCCGTCGGTGACTTAGAGGGACCGTAAACCTTGAAGGTCATCCGCCCTTGAGCGCCATCGCACTCGCGTCCAAGACGGACACAGTTATTACACGCGGGAGATGCCTCGTCGCAGCGAACATGACGGCGGCGACAGGTGGAACAGCCTGTAAATCCTCGGTGATGCCATCGGCGGATTCGTTTCGGGGGTGGTTGTGTATCCGTGTCCGACAACGGTGCGCCCTCGGTGCGTGTTTCCATCGGGCGCGTAACTCGGTAAAATAATGGTCAGACATGGACACTTAGAATGAACATCAATACGTTAGTAGTCATGGTGGATGTTATAAGGAGAATCCAATACTACGAAGGCTCTCTGGGTCTGAAGGGGCGCTAACGGCAGAACGCATCAGCTCTGAGCCAATGGCTTCTCATTTTCTTTTATATTAAGACAATCTCAATCAAAACTAAACACTTTTATACCCTGACACATCGGTTTCACACCGGTTTCTTGACGCTTAAAATCTCTCAGCTCGACTTTAGCGTCAAGGCTATCCATATGGGCTGAAGATAATGCTATTCTTCGATTTGGCTGTTTTTAATTAATGCCACACAATCAAAGGGAAGACGCGAAGGATTTATCTCGTAGCCTAAACCATTCCTTCTTGGCAGCTGAATCCCCAACCTCGTGGGGGCCGTTTTTGTACGGAGTATGTTATGTAACCATTACTGATCATAGGCATCAAACTTTAATGAAGATCAGTTTCAAATCTTAACTGAGAATACAAGTTCACTTACAATGCACTGTTCAAAAGGCACGCTGGAGTTCAGAATGGCGCCCATGGCCGCCCGGGCAATCGTCACTGGTACCCCGATATGCGCCGCCTGCTGCTCTGCCTGTTCGAGGATGGCCTCATTGCGCGAGGGAACATTCACAGAAGCCCGGGTGGACTTGAAACGAGTGGCCTCGCGGACATATGCAGCTCTATACGAGTTGAGATGTCAATGTCAACGTTATAACTTTAGATCACATAGGAAACCCGAGGGTACGGAGGTCGGAGTACAAACCGCCGATTGAGAAGATCGAGTATTTGATCATCGATATCATCGAGCGCGGTGCGGATCTCGTCCAAAGAGTCACAGCACGTAGTTAGTGTGCCATTTAATGACGAGAAATGGACACTCGGGGTGCCCCAAGGCACAGGGCGATGGTCTGTTGAAGGAGTTGAGATCAGATTGGAACCATAACAGGTATTATTGACATTGGCATTGGCTGTTGAACCAATAGTGGAAAGGGTTAGAACCCCAGAGAGAACCTGGAATATCATGATAGTAAGTTAAGAAACTAGACTTTCAACCCCTAGATTTGCCTTTTCCTCTTGATTGCTTACCCTAAGGGGTTAGGTTGGATATTTCAGGCCCAACGATATACCTTCATAGACCCATGCGGGGAAGTTAAAACGGATTTCTCTCCGAGTTTCGTGCCGAAAACCCCTCTTCAGGTGTTTGGGATTTCTTTAAAAGCAGTTGCTTTTCTATTCCTTCTAATCACTGTCAATTATCTTATAACTACCCTACCAAGATGTCCCAAGGTTCAAGACTCCAAGGCAAGGTTGCCATCGTCACCGGTAAGACTATTATTCTACACCATTCCGTTATAGGTACTAATACCCCCTCCTTTTAGGAGGCGGTAATGGATTCGGTGCCGCTATCGCTCGACGATTTGGCGAAGAGGGTGCCAAAGTAATCGTTACCGATATCAACGTGGAGGGCGGCGAGAAAGTCGCCGCGCAGAATCCTTCCAACCTCATCTTCCAGCGTCAAGATGTCACACAAGAAGGGGACTGGAATACGGTGTTAGATTTGGCATTCTCCAAGTTCGGACGAGTGGATGTGTTGGTGAACAATGCGGGCACTACTTATCGCAACAAGGTGGGGTTTAAACTTATTGTATGATTGAAACCTCGCTAACCTTCCTTCAGCCCACATCGGAGGTCACAGAGGAAGAGTGGGAGCGCGTGTTCAAGGTCAACGTGAAGAGCATCTATCTCGCCACGAAGGGCCTGATGCCGCGTTTCATCGAGCAAGGACAGGGCGGGTCGGTGATTAACATCTCCTCCACGGGAGCGAGTCGACCACGGCCTGGGTTGGTTTGGTATAATGCCACAAAGGGGGCAGTCACTAATGTGAGAGTTACTATTTGGACAGTGAATAATGAATCACTAACAATCCCTACAGGCCACCAAAGGTCTCGCCGCGGAGTACGGTCCCCACAATATCCGATTCAACACCGTCGCTCCTCTTCTTTCTGGGACTGGACTATTTTCGATGTTCACCGGTATGGAAGATACCCCCGAGAACCGAGAGAAGTTCATCGGAAATGTGCCACTGGGCCGCCTCACCGATGTGGATGATATCGCCAACATGTGTCTGTACCTAGCCAGTGATGAGGCTCGTTTTATCAACGGCACCGAGATTGTGGTGGATGGTGGAAAGTGCGTTTAGATGTTCGTCAACCTTTGTAATTAATTTCTCTAGCCCAGTTCCCCGCAGAAACGTGTGGTAGAAGTAAAGGTGTGTGTTAAGATGTCACACCACTTGAAAGGTTGCATTCTTCTGACAAAGGGAGGCCGTTGGGACTTTTAAGTAATCAAATTGTCATGCAAAGATGGCACGTTGGTCGTCGGAGGGTGTGAGCGTATACTGGCCTTTTTAGAGGACATGTAAGATACTTGGGTTGAGTCGCAATTAAGAAAAAGACAGGAAGTCATCGTAAGATAGGACAAAAATTATAGGTAGATGTGTTTCATGGTTATTTCAATGGCGATGGTTGAAATCAAGCATTGAGTGAGAACGTCGAGTTGGGCTCGGAAAAGTTGTGGCAAGCTAGTGAAGAAAAGTCGAACCCTGTAGTCCTCTACTCGGCTGAACCAACCTCAAAGCCCCCTTCCTTAATGCCCCGGTTGGAATACCGGTGAAAGCCGCTATGGGGGCTGGATATCGGTGCATAAAAATAGGATATTGCGGATTGGAAAAGGGCCAGCTGCGATAGACATCGTTAGCAATCTCACTGGTTAAGCAGGGGATGAACCATCCAGAGATGAAACAATGTAGCCAAGACAAAAGTCGTACAGACACGAGCAAGGGACACTTACCGAGTGTTTGGAATGTAGGTATCATTGAGGACAGATGATTATTCTGCGTGACATAGTAGTATGCATCATACTATGTTCACGGCTAACCTGCTACGACGGAAGGTTGGAGTAAAGCAGAGTCCTGCACAATTAAAATTGATATATCATCGTAAGTAGGGAGTAATATATAGTTGTATGTACCTTCGCATGCAGTAATCTCTCTAAACCCTGCCTTTTGGGCAGGAAATACTCAAGAATACAAAAAGCAGGCTAACTATGTGCATGGTTGCATTAACCTCAAGATATCCCGTGGATCATGTACCTTCTTGGACAGGCTTCGATCCGGAAGTAAAAGAATACAGACCATGTTGTTTAGCTCCGCTCGTTAACCGGCCTCTCAGCGAACATGAACGTAATGGCCAACCAACATTAGCATTCTGCCATCTCCCTGATTGTCTCTAAGAAGAGATATTATGATCGCTCACATTGCATGGGTTTGATGCACCCACATCGATACCCGTCTGGGACCAATGGTTGGCTGATAGTAAAGACGGTGAAATCATTCAGCTCCTCAAGTTAGGTGGTATGCACTTCATGTCTCCAGTTAATATCCAGAGACACACAATGTAGACAACTTTGTTCTGTGTTCGAAGCTCCGGAATAAGATGAATAAGTCAAGGTGTGTCATCGTGTATGTAACTTTCCCATATAAAGATGAGGCCTGCCTTCCACGATCTCCACGAAACTACAGACATTTTGACTCGATTTCACTCGCTATCCAATACCAAAATGAAGCTTTCCTCCCTCTTCCTCGGAGGGCTGGCTTGTGCTGTTTCCGGCTCTTATGCCGCCTCCCTCGCCCCGAATGCGCCTTACTGCAGTCTAGGCGCCGCCTGTGAAGATACTCCGCAGGACTGCTCGGATCTGGGGGCAACTGGAACAGAGTTGGTATGTATCTTACTGCGTCATAATTTTAACGTTTATTTTACCAGTATGGTTTGTTATTTTCTTTCGCAACACCATTTCCGTTGTGTCGCACCAGGATGGCCAGACAAACGGGCAGATCACCACCCGTGAGGTTTTCGTGAGCGAAGACAAGAATGAGTGGGGCGAACAGTTGCGTACGAGACATGGTACGAAGGTGCAGGGGAGAAATTGGCCATCTTCGAGCCCAAGCAAGGCCAATACGTCCGCCTGGTGTCCCTCGGCAGCAATGTGGCCAGTATCTCGGAGCTGAACATTTATGATGGTGACGACCCCAAAACCGTCGCCAACGGAGGTGCCTGGGGCGCTACCATTGACTTGCCTGTTGTGGCTGTCTCAGGCGCTGTCATCCCTGAAACAAAGGTCCTCGTCTGGTCATCATGGGCGAAAGACGACTACCTTCACTCTCCTGGGTACACGCTCACGGCCATCTGGAATATGGCCGACGGCACGGTCACCCAGCATAAGGTCCAAGAGACACGCCACGACATGTTCTGCTCTGGCATGTCTTACGATGGCAAGGGTGAATTGCTTGTCACTGGGGGCAACGACGATCAGCTGACTAGCATATATGACCCAGCCTCCGGCAACTGGACTGAAGGTTCTATTATGATTATTGGCCGCGGCTATCAAGCCTCTGCAACCCTTGCCGAGGGTCGCGTGTTTCTAATCGGTGGCTCCTGGAACGGAGGTACGAATTACGATAAAGACGGCGAGGTCTACGATCCTGATACCGACTCATTCAGCTTCCTAAAAAAGGCTATAGTGAAGCCCATGTGGACGGACGATCATGACTCTGGTTACCGCCGCGATAGTCATGGCTGGCTCTTTGGTTGGAAGAAGGACACTGTGTTCCAAGCCGGACCTAGCAAGAATATGAACTGGTATTATACACACGGAGATGGTGACCAGAAGCCTGCAGGAACACGCGCCAAAGCCAATGATTCTATGTCTGGTAACGTGGTGATGTTCGACGCAGTGAACGGCAAGATCATCACCTTTGGCGGCTCGCCCTCTTACCAAAACTCGTATGCCACGACAGATGCCTATCTCATTGAGATCAAAGAGCCAGGCTCTGAACCCAAGGTGACCGCAGCAAAGAACCCCTCCGGAGAGGGCATGGCCTACGCCCGCACATTCCACACTTCGGTGGTTCTTCCTGATGGTGGTGTCTTCACTACCGGTGGACAGTCATATGGCGTCCCCTTCAACGACAGCAACGCACATTTGACGCCCGAGTTGTATGATCCTAAGACCAACGAGTTCCCCAAACAGAAACCCAACAGTATCATTCAGGTATACCACAGCATTTCCCTCCTGCTTCCTGATGGCCGTGTCTCCAACGGCGGCAGTGGTCTGGGTGTCTCAGCCCCTACCAACCATTTCGATGCGCAGATTTACAGCCCCCACTATCTGTTCAATGAGGACGGCACATTCGCTACCCGTCTCACTATCGACGGTGTGGCCAAGAAGACCCTTCGTGTCGGCGAGAAGATCAGCATCAGCGCCAGTATAAATGTCAAGAACGCATCTCTGATCCGCTACGGTACGACCACCCATACTGTCAACACCGATCAGCGCCGCGTTTGTCTTGGATTCATGGACCGCGAATGGAGATTCATATAAGGCTACTCTCCCTGATGATACTGGTGCTCTTCTTCCGGGTCCTTGGATGCTGTTCATCTTGAATGATGACGGTGTTCCGAGCGTCGCTGAGAATATCCATATTCAGCTTTGAGGGCTCTTCAAATCGTTTGTCAGGACATTCCATAGCATAGCCGTCCGCCATTTCCATCCGCGGATGGTTTCCTTGGGGTATTGGTCGTGGTATGATGTTTGGAGACCCCGTTGTTTTATTTTATTTTTCTTTCTCTTATTTCTTGGATTGTATTATTGCAGTCTCCAGCCTGAACTGCCGTGTTGATTCGAACTCTACCAGCCAATTTCCCCTTCATCAACGCATCTCCATGGGAGTCTAGGTCTCAAAATAATTAATTAGTAACATGACATGCTACTTGACCTTCTACAAGTATCCCTGCCTGAATATAGCGTAGGATGCAACGGTGACGCCCCCTCAGCGCCCCGATAAGTCAAAAATACAAGCATACGTCGCTAAGTGGTAGTAAAAGGCCCATCCAACATTTTCTTTTTTAATCTAATATGTTGTAGTTAATCTATATGACACCAGGTCGGATCATATAAAACTCCCGAGGGCCCGATCGATCGGCATCGGCATTTTTGACGGTACGGCAGGCACCGTGCGCCACTTTTTTTGACCGTTGGCTCACCGCCGGCCTTGGGTTGCTTACTGGTTACTACCAGCGTACCAAACCTTTGAATTACACGTGCATACTGTGTAGTATTGATGTATTGACACGTATAAAGCACTCATCTTACAAACTATATTACAGACAGAATATGAACTGCTGTAGTGCAGGGATCGAATGAAACGCCAAGGAAAAAAATGGGTCGGAAAAGGTCGCTGTGTATAGCGCGAACTGAAACCAGTGCCCAGGTGACATTCGGGGACTTGGTATTTTGGACTACTCGCATGGAGATATATACGCTTTCTGCTACGCTATAGTATTGTAGACATACGAATCTACTCCATGTAGGATTTGAACATGTAGATCTGGACAATTGCCGCCTGTACCTGCATAATCTCGTTCGTTTGGGGACACAGGCAGGGGTAGTACTTTGTACATCGCAAATGGCACAGATAGGAGAGATCAGAACTCAAGGAAGTTTCAAGGTCTCATCCCTGTGAACGATCAAGTCAGGCCCACTTATTCACCCCACACAGTGCCCCGGTGGATTCAAACAACCCTTCCGAAATTGGAAGGAACCCTACAGCATATCCATGGATGTGTCCATGTATCAGGAATCTAGCTTCTTAGTAGGTAGGATTGTAGTCCACGGGTATAGAGGCTGTTGCTGAACTCGAGTTTTGATATTCGGTCTGCAAGCAACATGCACATGTGAAAAGCCTCAATATTGTGGATAGATTTATCATGGGCTCTATATGGGTCACTCGGGAAATGTAGTCGCCTAGTACATTAAATTGCCACTCAAACGTATTATAGGCATACTACGTTTCAGTCCTTTGTACATCGATGTATAGCACCCCAGAAATGGGAGGCGTTGGAACGAGAAAAGTAGTTTGCAGACCACCGTTTGAAATAAAAATTTCAATGTTTCGTCTTTATGAAGTGCAAGGTAGTACTCCGTAAATACAATAAGTCTATATAATGGTCCTCGAACAACCTGATTGAAGATGATTATTCCACACAATCAATCCCCTTAAACCATCAACATGAAGTTCTCTCAACCCCTCCTCTTCGCTCTCCCATTCATCCAATCCGCCGCAGCCCAGGGCGGTGGCATGGTCGGCATCGGATGGTCCGTCGAGAACGTCCCCGACGAGGGCTTGTCTGAGATATTCTTCCCAATGGACATCTCCGGCGCTCCCCACAAGGGCGGCTTCTACTTCGCCCAGCAATTCGGCTTCGTCGACCAAGACAACGTGGGCTACACTGGTCTGCAGCCCCGCGAAACCGACCACGGTCTTCCCGTCATCCACGGAGTCTTCTCCAGCTTCAATAAGGGCACTACCTCCGACGATCCCAACTGCTCCGATGGTGCCGACGGCGGCGCTGGCGTGAGCTGTGCTGTTGAGATCGTCAGCTCTTACGATCACCAATATCAGCTGCACATCAAGAACACCGAGGGAACCAAATGGGTCGGAACTTTGGTTGATGTTGTCAAGGGAAACAGCACCCAGATCGGCTCTTACACGCTTCCCGCTGGATCGAAGGGTATTCAGAGCTCACAGATGGGATTCGTCGAATTGTACGGCTGGAATGATAACAAGAAGGAGCACGTGTGCTCCGATGTGCCCAAGCAGTCGGTTATTTTTGGTGCGCCTATCTCTAAGGGCTACGAAGGATCCCTGAGCGAGCCTTACGAGTACGGTGACTGTGTCGGTAAATCTCAATTCGAGACCCACAGCCACTCCGATGGTAGCTACTCGGTCACTGTTGGATGGTAAATGGAGATAGAAGTGAGGCAGAAGCCTCGCATGTCTCTGTCTGTTTTATCGGGCATGAATTAAACTTGGACAAGCCTCAAAAAGCCCATCTGTCAATGGATTCTTCATGGAGGAGATCCGGAGTTCTTTCTCTTCGTTGGATAAAACGATAAAACCACGATGTCTTTACATCTTGAGTTAAGTACATACAGCTCATAGATAGACGAATTTAATTCAGACAACCTTTTTAGCAGCTTGAAAGAAGTAATATTGTTCAAGTTAATTCGATGCTGCACCTCTTTGCTGTATGAAATATTAACTGTCTGATTTTGGAGGATATCTAGGTCTGACTATGAACTATCTCTCAGAACCCCAAGACTGTAAGAGTCTCTCAGAGCCCTCTCTCGTCTATTTTCTAAAACCGCCTGGTCTCCACGGCGGGCTTATTCCCAACAGCGACCTCAATCTTCTCAATAATTTCATCCGTCAACTTCTCCGCCACCTCCAAAGCCCGAATATTATCCAGGACCTGCTGCGGCCTCGACGCACCCGTAATCATAGACGAGATATTTGGATTCTTCAAAATCCACGCAAGCGCCAACTGTGCCGTCGAAACACCAAGTTCCTCAGCGACAGGCTTCAACGCCGCAACCTGATCCAGCTGACGCTGCCAGGTATCATCACCAACCGTCTTACGCAGACTCTTCACATATCCATCCTCCGATTCCGCCAGCCGCGACCCAGCCGGGGGAGCAGCAGTATCATTATACTTGCCTGTCAAGACACCGCCCTTCAACGGCGAGAACACCGTCAAACCGAGCCCGTGCGCCTCGTACAGCCAGCGGTATTCCTTCTCCACACGCTCGCGCACGAGGAGATTATATTGCGGCTGCTCGACGACAGGACCGATAAGACCGAGTCTGTCAGCGATACGCCAGGCATCCGCAATCTCACTGGCAGACCATTCCGACGTGCCCCAGTAGAAGGCCTTGCCGTTGTCGATGAGGTAGTTGAAGCCGCGGACGATCTCTTCCATGGGCGTGTCGCGGTCCGGGCGGTGTGCGTACACCACATCTACATATGGCAGCGCTAGCCGTTGCAAGGAGAGGTTCATGCCCTCGATGATGTGCTTGCGGGAGAGTCCGTTGTTGTTGAGTGGTTTGTCGGGGTTGGCGCTGTTGGCTTTGCCCCAGTATATCTGAAAGAGGGCTTTAGCAGGGATAGGAAGGCCGAATGGGCAATTGTGCTTCTTACCTTGGTGGAAATGACAAGGTCGTTTTGCTTCCAGCCGAACTTCTTGATTGCCTCTCCGAGCACAATCTCCGATTGTCCGCCTGAGTATACTTCGGCCGTATCGAAGAAGTTGACGCCGGCATCGTAGGCAACCTTTATGCATTCAAGGGCGGTTTCTGCTTTCTGTTTAGATTCAACCAATTCCATCAATAGAGATGGGTCATACCATTCCCGACGTGTCCGCCATATGTGAGCCAGCTACCCAGCGAGATAACCGAGACTTTCAGTCCGGTCCTGCCGAGGAACCGGTACTGCATTTCAGGAAGAGCGTCAGACATTGTGAATTTTGTGAATTGCGTGAAATTAAGATAAATTCAAGGTAGTAAGAAGTTAATGCCCAGGGTAAGACTTTATATATGGTAACTAGACGGGCCGATGCGGGGTTAAGAGGCGGAATCCAGGCGGGACCTTGCCCCTCCCGATTGGGACCCCGAGGGGTTAGACCGCCTTTTAGGCTAATTAGATTGCGTTTAACTAAAAATTGTGCAATACGTGGTGATGATGGCCTCAACAGGACAATTGAATTGTGTTTGCTTCACATTACTTAGTTCTCTGAATCCTCCACTTTCGAAATCAACGCCCATCAGCAAACTCAATCGGAAACACAGAGACTCATCGAGTTCGGTACTCGCACCCAGTTGGATTAGCTCCAGGCCAGTCAGGATAGACTGGAGTCTGCGCCGGGGAGGCACATTTACAAAGGTTGGCTTGCAGAGGTATATCCGAGCAAACGCCCACCGGCTGGGTGGCGCAGTACTCATTGATCGAGACGGAAGTCGTCATACCCCGTGGACAGTAGCTGTACGGCATACAGAAGGTGTCGTAGTTCGATGAGCCTGACAGTAGGGTCATGCTGTACCATTGATTTGTAGCACAGGAGCAGGAGACACCTACAAGAAGCGAGAATATTCCAGTTAGCCTCGGCCGTCGGCTTTTGCCTGGTGGAAAAAGAGAATATGAACGAAGACATAGGAAATGAATCAAGAAACTTACCCCTGATCACAGTTGATTCTCCTCCCGCCAATGTGCCCTGATATATGGTCGACGTCGAATACGGAATAGCCCCATTCGAGCACTTCGTGGTAATCCAGGGTTCGCTGAGCGGGAAACAGCTCGATTGCTCCATGCAATGCTCTGGATGCCAAACGGACGGGAAGGATCCCTGTGGGCACTCCAGGGGCGGTTCCTGGCTGGAGCAGTACGAAACCGGGGTTCCCAATGTACAGTCTGTCGTGTAGACGGCAGTTTGTCCATTTGAGCACAAGAGCTCGGGGCCTTGGGTGATCACCGCCGGAGCTGCAGCCGTAGTGATCGAGGCGGTCTGTTGAGGAATAGCCATTGTGGCTGAGATGAAGAAAACAAGAAAGAGATAGACTCGGTAGAGGGGTCCCATTATGGTCTTCTCGAGGTTCATTAGGCAGGCATATAACAACTTAATTTGAGAGTTGCGCTAGTGTGATATGCAGTTGCTGCTGTAACTGAGCCAGAAACAAATTTCTCTTCGGAGCGCTGGGCTGGATCTTGCTTTATATTGGCCTAGATCCGGCAGGACAGCCCGATTTGGGTTCTTGAGAACCGAGCTCACCGGGGCACTCAGCTTGGCTGATCAAAACTACCACGGTAAAGTAACGGTGGCTGATAGATTTGCTGGCGCATCAAAGACAGTGAAGTTTAGCTCATACTACCTCGCAACTGCATGCAACCCTTGAATAGATAACGCTCACTAGGCCGAGAACATTGTTTGCAAATGCCTCAGCAGTAGCTGGGCAGAAGCTTATAAAAATAGGTTACCCCTCGTCAACAAGTCAAGGGATCCTTATTCGGGAAGTCCATGACACAGAAAACGCTTTCGCGGTAACGGGGTCAGTGAGCATCGATGTGACTTCAGAGGCCAGGTATAACACGATCTTGAGATGACGCCACTGCAGCAAGAGAATGAGTTTCCATGTTGCGCGATTTATGTGCTACACGGACAGGTGGTCGGGGGGAGATAAACCGACGAACACGGTTGGCATCGTTGCGACCCTGACTTGCCTTATCTGTGGTCGAAGGGGCTGGATAGATCGATGGATGATTGCGAATATTCTCGTTCTTTGTGAGCTTCTAGACCGTCCGTTTTGGTTGTTCTGTCTTGGAATCGATGGTCTCGCCGCTGTTGTCGGGCCTCGTTATGTCCCATCTGTCCCACAGGATTGTCGCACGGAATATGTACAGCATGGCCTTTGCCAACTGAGCTAAGGTAGGCTGATCTTTACTTTGTATGAGATACTGAGACATCTGTTCAGAGGTTGAGTGAAATGAAACATTGGAAAATGGTTAATATGCGAGTGGAGTTCGACTGAGACCTACGTGGTACATTGAGACTGGAGATAACCAAAATGGCGGACAGCGATGAAATGCAGGGAACTAGCAAAGAAGCTTGTGCGGAGTACATTTTACCTAGATTTACGTAGACCCGATTATTATCGACCAATGCGATTCAATTGTGTACCAGCCAGGACTATTTAAAACTTTATCACGAGAACGACAGTATGGTCAATGTACACCCTCCTCGACTGACTGGAGGATGTCCAACAATCAGCAACAAAATAAATGTACTATGAATCAAAGCTCCCAGGGTACAATCCAGCAAGTTCAAGATCGAACTTGATGTAGAAGCATGGGGTATATCCTCTCGGTCAAGGTGACGGAAAGGAGACGCGCTGCGTACTTCGCGCATCGGGTTCCAGACACCCACAACGGAGGTTCTTAAACCTAATTGTGCATGTGACCGTGGCGGCGGTGAAGATGTCTCTTGGCATGGCCAGCAGCCTGCACCGGTTCCTCAGGTTCCGGGACAGTGTCCTTCTTCACGTACGAAACGGCTGTAGAGGTTTCCATAATCGTGGTTATGGTAGAGGAGACAGTTCGCACGGCGCCAGTGCTAGTCGAGTAGGCCTCACCATTTCCATCACAGAGGACGACAACATCGCGTTCGAGGTAGATGATCTCTTCAGTGAAGGGGTCAACGACAGTAGATGTGACAGGAGTCGGGGTTGGCGAGGGAGTCGAAGTGGAAGTGGAAGTGACAGCTTCGGCAGTGCTATCTGTGCGAAGGTTGTCAAGCAAAGTGTTGGGATCAGGAATAGAGATACTGGGAATCAAGGTGTTGGGATCGATCGAAATACCACCAGCAGAAATAGTGGGAAGCGTAATCACATTGCCGGTTGTGGTTGAGGGTTTGGGTTTCATCGAGGCATACTCAGGACCCCACTCGATAGGCATGCCGCCAGGCAATCCGTCGTGGTGCATTTCACAATCCTCGTGTTCGATCTCGAATGGGATGGGGAACTGACATTGACGCTGTTCATCTTCGGTCTGAATGTCGAAGACTTTGCACTCGTCGATGACACCTGACTCGCTGGTGCAAGTTTCAATGGCCTCCTGCAGCACACCCGAGTCCCAGGCCTGCATGAAATCGCCGTGGTATCCAAATCCAGTGGGGTCACCGTTGGCGAGCGCGAAGTATCCATCGACGTCCTTGAACGCGTAGGTGTCCCAAATAGTCTCGTAGAAGAGTGATACCAGGCGAGTTTCGAAGCCCTCGGGGCAAGTACCATCCATAACAAGGGACGGGTACGCGACATGGGACTTGTGGTCAGGGGAGTCGGCATCCTTGCCATTCCAGCAGGATGGGAACATCAACTCGATACGGACTCCATCGGTGCAATGCTCATCGAGGAAGGCCTTGTCGGGCAAGAAGTGGCGGTGGAGGGAGTCTTCAGCGGTCGTCTTATAGTTCAGACAGTTGAAACCAATGGCCTTCTGGCGCAGAGCAGCCTGTGAGGCCTGGTCACCACTCCACTCGGACTTGGGGGGGTCGGGAACTGGCCAGGTGAAGTTGCGCAGGTAGGGGTCACCTGCCAGCATGCGGAAGTCATCTGGGAAGGCCTTGATATTCTCTCCATACAGAAGGTAGTAGCTAATCGAGCAGAGCAGCGTTAGTAGAGCTCCACCACAAGAGCCAAGTCAGACTTACGCAAGCATGCCTCCAACCTCTTCAACTACCTGGGCACTGCCGTTGGTGTGCATGAAGTACAAAGCGGGAGCCCAGTAAGCGGACTTGTCTTGAGTCACTGCGCACGAGGTGCAATCAGCACTGAGGAGCGAGCTCTGATCCGAGCTCATGCCAAAGCCTAACCCCAAGTCAGCACATCCGTAGAAGATACAAGCTTTGGGACAATGCGCGCTTACTTCCACCTCCATGGACCGCGTGAACGTGACCCGAAACCTCACCCGGATCCACAATGGGGTCTACTCGGGCTAGACCAGATCTTCCACGGCAAGGAAGACGCCAAAAAGCATTTGCGTAGCTTGGGAACAGCGCAAAGCAGGCCATCACAACGGCTGTCAGTTTAAGGTCCTGCATGTTGCGATTGTGGTTGAGCCGCGTCCACGGGCTCGGTGATTGGATAAAAAATAAAGAATGAATGATCTCAGGGAAACAATTGCAAATGACAGACTCGCCAGATACCGAATCAACCGGTCAGGCGTGGAGTGCGACAGATAAGTGTTGATACTAAGCAATATGTTAGGATGTACGGGGTAAAGTCAAGGCATTAAGCACAGCTCCAAGTCGCAGATCGCAGATTCAAAGCTAATCGTCATCTTATATCAATGGCCCCCTTCCAGTACAAGGGCAGAGGAATGATCCCTTGCTGGGCACACCACTTCCGAGGGACGACCGAGGAAAAAAGGTAGCAAGGTATGCGACTCACCAATCACACGCGTTTCTCCTGACGTCAGTAAACAAAGATGATTTCTGACGATTCCTGACGATTTCTGTTGTGATCCCTGAAGCCCCCAACTTTATCAGCCTCAACTCTATTTTTTTCAATAAAACGCCCCTAACAACCCCAAAAAAGCACTCACTTGGGTTGCAAATAATAGAAAAGAACAAAATAGTAAATGAGCGACAATAGTATGAATGAGTGACAGACCCTGAGATAGGGCAAAAGAGGCGCAAGTAAGAGAGAGGACAAAACAAAGAACAAAGGAGCACATGGGAACACGGGGGATCAAGTACTTCAGAGCAAGAAAACTTAGAAAAATGCCCAAAGCCCTCAATAATGAGGCGCCAATCCCCCCTTAACGAGTTAGTGCTTGGAGAGAGGGGCCTGAGTTTAATGAGCCAATCCCTTGATATTCGGTCTCGTTACGGAGTACTATTAGAATAACATAGCCCTGTACATATCCCTATGTTGTACTATGATACGATCGGTTGTCCGGAATTAAATGAGCAATGATCTTAATATGGAATGTTAGAACAGGGAAAAGAGAGGGGTTAGAATATTCTCTCCAAGGACTTCCCGTGTGTTCAAGCCGATATCTGACTGAAACGAACGGCGCGTTCCTGGTCTAAATCACTAGCGTCTTGGTGACCCCACGTTGAGAATGCGGATTGGCTGGAAGGGGAGATGAAACAACCCCGTAAAGTTCTGTTGTATGTCAAAATTATACCCCTATTTAGTACTCGAGGAAATTGGCTATGGCGTTAATGCAATATAAAATTTAACTATTTAGAGGACAACATAGCACACTCCGTACTTCGGAGTATAGGAGGGATATGGCTAACTCCAATACAAAGTTCTATGAACCACCCCAGACAGTAGCCGTTGGAGGTTTAAGGGTTTGAGATATCATTCCAATCCCTGCAATGTCCCGATCCTATCCGTGCCCCAATGTCTCAGATCTCACATAGTGAAACGATGAACGTAACGAAGCTTTTTAGTATTATCTACGGAGGACTCCGTAGTTCACCGGCACTTCACTATTTAATTGTAAGAATAAATTCTTTTATGTATTATATTTTATTATTAGATCTGCTGTGGAGATCGCAACCTTGGAAATCCTATTAGGATTCCAACATATATATATTCCTCCGACGTTGCAGTTAGGTCTCGGTCTAACTACAGTGGCGTTTCATGAGTATTTGCAACCCAGTACTTCCAAAATTGACCGCTCTTTCCATACCGCCTGCTTATTACCGCTGGTATAGACCCTGCGCAGCGCGAATATGAAGTTTTGACCAGCAGAAAAGAAGTGGGACTCGGGCCTTCCGGAGTACTGGGGTGCAAATACTCATGAAACATGAGTGTATACCTAGTATTCCGTTTTCGTTAGTGCCTGAATAAGTAACAAAAGAAAATACTATTTAACGAGATAGAGAGAATCAAGCACGTTGAAGGTGGACAGTTTCGTTAATTTCCTAATCAACATTCTAACATCGCAAACCGTAGATGGCAATATTAGCGTTGATAACGAATATCATACAGATCAGAGTAGATTTTGAAGCTCTAGGAGGTCTATGCTAAGAAGGCAATACATGTACAGTACACTGTTCGACGTTATACAGCGCAGATTACACCTTCACCTCCTCTAAAGCCTTTCTGGCTCTTGCAACGCATTCTCGTGCACGGGATTCAGATACATCCTCGACAGCCTTGCCGCCATCCCGCACGATACCGCGAAGCGCAGCTTCAGTGTCCAGCAGCGATGTCCGTCCTTCCTCGCGGACTTCCTCCTCCCAGAAAGTACGGGCGACATCCCACCTCTTTTGCTGGCGACGCAGAGAGTAAATCAAACCCACGGCAGCAAGGGTACAGGACTCGTAGACCCCAGCCGATGGAATAGCCACATACGTTAGACCGGAGAGAGCAGAAGTGAGAGTAGTGGTAGACACGCTGAAAAGCACCAGACTCTGGGCGAGAGCTTGAAGCGATGGCACAGTGGCGGTGAGGAGCTTGGTGCGAAGATCGGGGATCTGGGTTGGCCAGAGAGGCATGGCAGAATCCTTCGCGGGGTCGGCGCTTGAAGACGAAGGCTCTTCCAACAGGCCGGCCTGCTGGTACTTGCCCACGGTCCAGATGACCTCCTGCTCCGCCCGGCGAAGGAATTTCTTTTCCAAGATCTCGGAGGTAATCATGCTCACATCGTCAACGCGCCAGAAGAGTTTCCACCATGCAAGACCGCGCCAGCGTGGACTGGCCAGCCCTTCCTCGAGGGAACTGCGGAGCTCAGAGTGGGCACGCTCTGCCCAGCTAGTCACGGCCTGGTCCAAGTTGGACCGAACCTTTTCAGGGGCTACGCCGGCTGTTTGATCATTGACCGCCTTGGCGTCTCTGGTGGTTACACTTGCGTCGGCTGCGTCAATAAGGGACTCCACTAGAGGGACCAATGCCGGATTCAACGCGTTTCCAGCGGATGCTTCCGAGGAAGTTGCAAGCCAATCGATGAGAGGTTGCACACCACTGCCATTCCACCCACGTTCGTAGTCGGAAGCATTGTGGACGGATTCGCGGAATTTATCCAGTGCTGTGCTAGCACGGTCGACATCTACCAGGGACACTCGCTCGTTTGTGGATTTCTGGTCTTCCACTGCAAGTTCGATGGCCCCGCGCACTGAAGAGGTCTCGTTCTTCAGGTCTGACCGACCAATCATTGTGCTGTACGACAGCAGGCCATCCACTCCACGTCCGCATACGATCGTGCGGTGCACGGGATACCGAACAACATTATGCCGACCGGAATGCGAGGTCTGGATGGTAACTGTGGGGACGAGGAAGGTGTCTGCATGGAACATAGGGGCGTGCTGGGCAGGCTCGGAGCCTAGGGTGCTGACTAGGATCTCTAAGTTGCCTTTCCTCAGGATAGGCGACGGCACTGATATCGTCGGTAGCAGGTCATTGGGGATGGATTGTGAGATTTCGCCATATCTGTAGAATAAGTCCTTCAAATCAGTACTGGCAACGGAGGATCAACGCGCAGACAGAAGACTTGTTCATACCTGATCAGCAGTCCTCGGGATGAATCGCCATCGTATGAGTCGAGAATGTCTTCCCAGGTTTCTCGCGGCGTCAATGGGTCGGCAAGTAGTAGTCGGACAAGTTTGCGTGCAGAGCTCGCATCGTTCAATCCAAGAACTAGTGTCAAAATCGAGAAATCAGTGTCATGCTTTCTTCGAAGGGGAAGGTCCATTGCCGAAGAGAGCAATAGCCTGATCGTATAAGCAGAGACTCACCAGCTACTCTAATAAGCGGCGTTTCAGACTCCAACCCACGCAGTGCAAATTGCAGCCGACTGAGATTCACCTGTTCCAGGGCGGCATCCTTCACTCCCTCGAGGGCGGCGTGCAGCTCCTTGAACCGGGGTGGCACGCTCTTCGCAGTGATAATGGAGGATGTGGTAAATGTCCGTGGGACCGAGGCAGTGATTGTGTTTTGAGCTCTGGCTACCCGTCGAGATATGTCGGGTTTGTCGATGCTGCGACTGGTGTTGGCGCGCGTGGACAAGGTCCGTCGCCAGATCGCGCACGAGGGGCAGTAAAATACAGCGCTGCTATCCAGTGGACGCGACAGGCTCTTTGTAAGCGCGCTGCGCAATCTCGGAGCCATTGAGGCACGGTGAAGCGAGGTTTGTAGGGTGTAGTTATCGCAATGGCACTTCGGTGGATGAACTTGGTTGAGCGGAAGTGGACGCGGGAACAAGGCTTGGCATCCATCACCGGCTTTATCGTCTTTGATATTTTATATCTCAGACGGTGGAGATGCGTAGCCACCAGATAGTTCGGTTGAAATGAGATTGATCATTATGTCAATATTTACAATCAATGAACCCTCAATGAATACCCCTTTCCCTACTATAATTGCAGATTTGGCTACGAAACGTGGGGAAAAAAGCACACATGTTTAACTGAACTGTCCTATTTATCGCTGTGGATTCACAGGTTAAATCGCCACGCGAGGGGTAGGGTCAAGCAGATAGATAGGGTATCGTATCGATCGTGTTGGGACAAAAGGGGGGTGCGCTGGAGGACAGGAAGAAGAAATGCGTAGATCGTGTCATAATATCAACTCGGCCATATCATAGTTTAATCAGACATCCTTAGGAGGATGGATCCCTCTGTCGAGAACGGGGGCGACCTGAGCCAGCAGACCTGGTGATTTCGATTAGTATGTGAAAGGGGATGGTGGCAGAATCTCAAGTGAGAACTTACATGCTGATCCGTCGAGCAACTGTGGCGAGTCCGGCATCGTTGGCAGCCTCATGTTCAGCCCGCTCCAGAGCGATACGACGACTTTCTTCGCTCTTTGCGATAACTTCTTCCTGTGTAGGAGGCATGTGCTCATTTTGGATATCAACCTTACGGGCATCCTCGAAGTTGTGAATGGCCTGTTTGATACCTTCCGCACCCAGCATCAGGGTTCCAGCAGGAAGACGACCGCCAGCTGCCGTCTTCAACTCAGTGACACTCTCGGACTGCTCGCGGAGAACCTGGAAGACACGAGAGAGGCGGCCAATGGCAAGAATTTTGTTTTTGATGGCACGTCGCTTGAACTCGGTGGATTCGGGGTCCATTGACGGAGACGTGATTGAATCCTTATCCTTGATGTCACTGGGAGAGACAGGTGTGGGGGCCTCGTCCTCCAACTCTTCCTTCGAGCAGGTGTTGAGAATGGCGATGAGCATATCCGTGATTTTCTCACCGACGAACGGCAAAGACCAAGTGAAAACATCCATGAAGTTGGGCAGCCAATATGGGTGTGGGGTGCAGTTGAATTGGCGGATGTTCATCACATTGTTCTCATATTTGAGGACAGCCGCCTTGTTATTGTAAACATCCAGGTAGTTAGGCGCACTGAAAATAGTCATAACACTGGGGAAGCCGGTGGTTCGCGTCTTCCTGTACATGCGATATCCGGCATCCTGAGCCTCATGTGCTCTGATGATGGAGAGCAAATTGTTCTTCTCCAAAAACGCGCATGCCGCGGGGTAAGAGAAAAAGTAGGAGCAACCACGGACACTGTTATGAATGAAGAAATCGCCTGTCTTTTCTTGACCAAATTCCTCCAGAGGGTCGGCCCAAAGGATATCGCACATGAGTCCGTGGGTTGGTGGTTCGCGGAAGCGATCAATCTATGTCTTGTAAGTTGTCTGCTAATACTATCATTCAAAATCCGCACAGGGCAGATACATACAGCTTTGATGTCTTCGAGGGTATGCAGCTCGGGACTGAGACCACCGTGGATGCAGAGGAACTGTTTGTTCATAACCGCCGCCAGCGGCAGCGCACAGAAAGACTCCAAGCATGCCTCGTAGATCCGTTCACTATATTTGTGCTTGCACTCCAACTTGAAGGTGAAGTAGTCCGTCAAGTGGCGGCATTCGTGATTACCCCGCAGCAACCAAAGTGAATCGGGATACCAGATCTTCAATGCCCAGAGGTAGAGGACGCACTGCAAATACAAACGGTCAGGGTAGTTCTTCTAGATTCGAGAAGGAGACTCGGATGACGCACCTCAATACTGAAATAACCACGGTCCACATAGTCACCCAAAAACAGATACCTCGTTTCTGAAGGGTCACCGCCGACCTCGAACAGCTTCATCAAATCGTAGTACTGGCCGTGAACATCGCCACACACTGTAATGGGCGCATCCATTTCGAGCAAATTTGGCTCGGCCTTCAAAACCTGTGTACCGGCATGGATGATCCATAGGGCCTGTTCTTCTGAAAGACGACCTTCACGATAGAGGTGTTGTTTGAGGTACTGGAGATTGGGCTTGGAGGGATCCTCGGGCGACCAAAACATATCATCCGGAGGATAGCTGAGAGCGGGCGCTTGGACCTCTAAGGCCACGAGACACCGTTAGCGATCAGGTTACCAGATCTTGCGAAAGCGACTGAGACTGCGGCATTACCTTTGACCACCCTCTCCATTGTCGACACCTGCGTGTTGTCCTCCATAGTGTGCAATGTGAAATCGATCTCCGGGACCGGTTGTTTGTCGGTCACGGCGCGCGCTATAGCCCGATCCATATTGGCAGAGATTGAACTGTAGTTCGAATTTTGAGTTCGGAGTAAGGGGGGAGGGGAAATGGGGGAGAGAAGCGCGGAGGTGTGGCGGGGGTGAGTTCAGCGCGGGCGGGATAGAGCTCCCACGACGAAGAAGAGGATAAGATTAATAGAACTGTGATCAAGCCGAAGTTCTGAAAGGGACCGAAAAAAGTGAACAGAGCCCAGAGTGTAAAATGGGTGCTGGGGGTTGTGTGTTTTGGGGGAAATGTGAAGTTGGGAAAAAGAGAAACAAATTGGATAAGCGGCTTCGGGGAGTCCTCAGATTGGTGGGTCTCGCACCAACCTTGATCTTAACTGTATCTGAGAACTTTCCTATTTTGGTCTTCCTTTTTGGGGGAAGGTGATTGATATACGGGGATGATGCGAGAGACAAGAATTACCAAGTTCAGCCTCATGTCAACGTGATGACTTGGTGCCTAAAACAACAACGGGTACCCCACACTATCAGATTCATTAGATTTCAACTTTTGACTATTTCGACATTGTCATCTGAAAAGTGTGCGCAGTTTACCCTTGCAAATAATGTATTCGGTTTTGAGCTCGGCTTCGACTTTCCATCTGAAGCTGCGATTGGCGTTTATGGCGTCTAGCCCCGATGTGCCTAAACCGCTAGACTTGAGGTATGCACGACTGATGGTCTGCATGGGAAAATTCTTCATAGCTGCAGCTATTGCTCTTTAATATCCCTTCGCTCCATGTGGAATGTTATGGAAAGGACATTTATGTGATAGAGATGCAGAGGTAGTACCCAACAACCTTGGTACTAATGACTTGACAACTAGCAGCTGCCTTGATAAATCGGGCTAGGTCTACTACAATAGTAGAGACCTCAAGATAAGCTTAACTTTAAAGAGTCTAGAGCGAGGCACTGGTCTGATTACTCGGGAATATTCCAAAGTTCCAAGATTTCTCTAGGCAAACTCATCTTAGTAGTGTCGTACAACCAATTTGCAAACTCAATGACTTATCTGGGGTTGCCTGCAACCTGATCAGGGTTCATTTGCTGGCGTATTGCAGAAGGGGATTCCAATATGATGTCACCGGCTCGAAACAATGCTGTTCAGACATGAACTTACACTTCGAAGTCTTCACACTCGCTTGACTATATATCTCTAGGTCGCCCGAAAGACACAAGCCCTTGAATGGTAGTATTCATCAAATAAAAAGAAGTGTTTCCAAACGCGAAAGAGAAAAGTTGTTTCTACTATGCCATCTGATAGTGATAGGCCCTCATCTGATCTCTGTGGAGGTTGGAAAGTGTTGAGATGCCGGAGGTGTCAGGCTATCTCCTAGGAAATTTACTAGCTTCCCTCCCGAGATAGAGTTTCCCTTCAACCAACATCTCTTTGTACTGCTTTCTTGCCATTGACTCTCTCCACAAAAACGATTACTCACGTCCTCTTCATATCCATCCCGAGGTCCATCCAGAGGTCCCAGGCCCCCCGGAGATACTTCATGACTCAGCGCAGCGCCCCAGGTGCCTAGGTGAAGCCACCACCCACGTCTCACTGCGCGCTTCTACGGAGCGTCCGGATTTCATGCTTATGCAGTTGATTTTTACTACGGTCGAAACTCCTCTCGCAAACTGGATGCTGTGGTGACAGAAACACTAGAGCGCTGTTTCATTCAGTATCGTGTTTCCTCCAAAATGCTCAATGCCTTGCCATATGAAGTTCTTCTGCTCGTCGCAGACAGATTACCCACGCACCGGGATGTCTCCGCTCTAATGCGAACAAATCATGCCCTCTATTACTTGCTTATTCCATACCTATACAAGCGAAATATGCGCTCAAAATACCCGGCTCTGTTCTGGTGCTGTCGAAATGGCCTCCTGACCCCAGTTAAACGTTTCCTGTCATTCAAAGCAGACGTAAACTTCATTAGGCGTCTCTTTAGGGGAGAAGCCACGCCATTAATGAGAGCAGCACTAGAGGGATATGTGGGACTGACAAGGCTGCTCCTCGAGCACGGCGCCGAAGTTGATCTCTGCAATCCGGATGGGGGACCATGTGAACCTCCGTTGACATTAGCTGCAGCTGAACTTACAGACAGCCGGTTGCACTATCCGAGGGAGATGCAAGAGTACTGGAGTTCGGACGATGAAAGTCTTCCCGAAGACGATGACGATGACACCATGTTTGATATCAGGGAAGCCGAGATGCCGGAGAACACCTGGGATTACCATGCTGTTGTCAAGCTGCTTCTCGACCATGGGGCCAAAGCGAACAATACAACAACTGGCTCACCGTCGTGGATATCGCCCTTGATGGTAGCTGCTAGACGCGGCAATCTTGAGACTGCCAAGATTCTACTAGAACATGGGGCGTCTCCTTCAATGCACTATTCTGCCCACCAACATGGATATGGATCCCCGATGGATGGGTGGAAAAGCCCCTTGAATATGGCCTGTTACTTGGAATCTCCAGCAGGGGTGCCCATGCTTGACCTACTTTTGGAGTATGGGGCCGACATCGAGCTCGAGGATTTGACGGGTGGAAATCTGATTTTTCAATTTATCGATGGGAAAAGCGATGATTCGGTTGATGTGGTCCGTGAACTTTGCGAATTGTGGTGCCGCAGTCAATCATCGGAATTTTCATAGCGAGACAGCATTACATGTCTGTCACTCAAGTGAGAAGATGGTCAAAGTGCTTCTTGAATGTGGTGCCGAAGTGGATGCCCCGAACAACAACGGAAGCACGCCTTTGTCTTATCACGATGACATACCTGCCATAAAGCAACTTCTTGCCCATGGAGCTGATCCGGACTTCACCGACAATCTCCCAGATAGGCCTTTAATGGTTTTCACTGTGCGTCGAAATTATGACGCCGTTAAGTTGTTGATAGATCATGGAGCTGACCCCACTTACGAAGTTAAATAGGAACCAACCTATACCTATTTGCATTATGCTGCGGTTATCGGTCACCTAGACTTCCTGAAACTTCTTTTGGAGCATGGAGCCGAACTTGGTGTCCCGACAGACGATGGGTCAACGGCCTGGGACTTGGCAACAAATAAGGAGTGCCGAGAGATTCTTGCTCAATGGGCAAGAAGACAGAATAAACAAAGGTACCTGAGTGGCAGAAGAGTCCCTGATCTTGATGATGTTTCTGATGGTGCTGGTGCTTCTGAACGTTGAGAACTAAGCACACTCAACAACAGCCAAGTTCCAGCAGAAGATAGATCACGAAGACACTGACATATTTCTGATAACATTCACACCACCTGGGCACCAATTCCCAATTTTTAAGTTATGTAACCTCACTGGAATTTTTGTGTTCTTCAAGGGAGCAAAAGATCTTGTCTCCTTTATGAGGCAGACATTGATTTAGAAGAATGGACATACTTTTCCATCAGGGTAAGATGGGAGATTCGTAATCCATCTGGGTAGCTTTCAGGGCCAGAGTGTTCGTCATGTCGTGCAGATGCATGTCTTCATAACTCCCACCAAGTTAAGTCCTTATGAGTCTTCTCTGCCAACATAGGCTGAGCAGCAGCGGCTCGGGGATCTTCTCGAACATCTCAATTCACTGGTGGTAGGGTAACCCCTAACACAGAAGCAGGGAGAACAGAGCTACCTAGGTAGTTTCCTCGCTGACTTCAACTCTCACATGTGACGTACATTCCAGTGATTGACGTGCTCTTAACTTAACGAATCTATCCTCCTTTCACTCAGCCGCGGGCAACCTGTCTCTTTGCCACCACCATCGAATGCGATGAGTTCACAGCTCGCATCGCAATCTGCTGAGGTATGGAGTGCTTTTTGAGCTCAGGAGCCGAGGATGTAAGCTTACGCAACCTTGTGATAAAGATATATCCCCAAAGCTCAGCTTTACGGTTGTATTATTTGTAAGTGGGCGGTACTTCCAAGGTGTTATATGCATAACCCCTCATCTAGAAAGTCTCACGTTAGATCGGCTAACGTGTTACCGCATACCTATGAATTTCCAGACCAGTCACAGGGATGGTGAGCAGCCTCGTATTCTGCACCGGTGGCGTCCTGTCAACCAACCAACCTGAAGGGATCCTGTGAAGTCCTTCTTTGA